AAAAAAATAATTTGGGATTTTTTGGTTTTTCCTGTATATCTCCAGAACCAAAAGAGCTATATTCGATTTCTTCACATCATTGAACAGGTCTCTAAAATACGCAACTTTGCCACTATTTAACCGACACTCTATCTCTTATCGTTTACGAGATCCCCATGTTCAGAAACGAATTTGAATAGCCCTGTATAAAACTAACTAGTACTTATTGAAGCATATATGTGCAAACACTGAGTTTAGAAATCAATATATACGAGGTCTGTTCAGAATATAGGATGAATTTTCATTTTTCTCAAAAAATATTCATTTATTCATCAATTTCTCATGGATGTATCAGTTAATAAGTCATGGGAAAAAGTATCACTGCTGGGATCATTTTCATATATTTTGTTTGTCTCTCTATTGTCAGTTCGTTTGAGATATATAATGAAGAAATACACACTTGATGAAAGAAAACAGAACAAACTTACTCAGGTTTTCTCTTTATCGCAGTCACAAGTAACAATCAATTATGGTTGTAGATATAAGAGGTATGTTTAAAAAAATAAGGTGAATTTTCATTTTTCTCGAAAAATATTCATTCATTCATCAATTCCTATTTTGTCCCCCTCGAAGTAGTCCCACTCAGATATAATACATTTATGCTAGCGTTTCTGCCAATCCTCGAAGAGCTTCTGATATGCACTTTTTGGTATGTCCTGGCGCTCTCTCAACAATTCGGTTTTTATCTCCTCAATCGTTGCATAACGCCGTACTTTCATGGTTCTTTTCAATATTTGGAACAGAAAAAAGTCGCCAGCCACATCTGGTGAATACGGTGGCTAGAGCATGATTAAGGTGTTGTTTCTGGCAAAAAAAAATACGAACAAGCAACGACGAGTAATCAGGTGCATTAATCGTGCTGCAACATCCATGAATTTTTTTTTCACAAAACCAGACGTTTTTTCCGTACTGCTTCTCGCAAGCAGTGCATAACTTCAAGGTAATACTCCTTATTGACCGTACGACCATGTGGCAAGAACTCCTGATGCACTCTGCCACGGTAGTCGTCGCCTCCATTGCGACGATGTCATAACCATACAGTGCATTTCTTTAATGTCCCCCCCTTTTAATTTTTTGAACGGGTCAACTCATAAAATTGAAATTTGAGATAATGAAATTAATGAATGAATACTTTATTTTGAAGTGAAATTGACAGATGAAACTCTCAAGATGACATATGAACATCCTATCCGATATTTCACGCTGAACATTTTCGAACACAGTAACGTCAATATCTCTACAAATATGTATTATTCTCTGCTGTATATCAAATATTGAAGCAGGTTCAGTTTCGTACACCTTTGCTTCAAATAGCCCCATAAAAAAAGTCCAAAGGTGTCAAATCTGGCGAGCGAATAATGTGGTGGTGTTCCATCTTGTTGAAATACAATATCTATATCGAATTCATTAGGATTCGCTTCGACGATTTCAGTGATGAGAGGGTCAACAGTAGTTTCCAGCATATTCAAATACAGTTCCTCTGTTGAATTTTGATCAATAGAGGTCCTACAAAATGGTTTTCAAATAAAGTATTCATGCATTAATTTCATTATGCCAAATTTCAATTTTTTGAGTTGACCTGTTCAAAAATAAATGGGGGGGGGAGACATTAAAGAAATGCACTGTATATCCCTGTATATCCGTAACTAGTTATGAGCCTTTTTAGCAAATCTTGACCTCATTCAACAATTCCTGAGCGCATGCGACAGTTTTTTGGTCAAAATTCAGCAATATTGGAACGAACTTCGCTGTCACACGCTTCATACCCAAAATTTCCGTAAAAACTACATATGGCGTGGGCCAACCGATATAATGACATCCTCAGTAACTTCTCTAATAGTGATTCAACGATTTCCCATAACAATTATTTTCACTTTCTCAGCATTTTCACCGGTTGGTGATGTTCAATTTTACGAAAACACTTCTTAAAACTCCTTCCAAATATTCACTTTGTTTTAGATTTTTTCTTGTTAACATTTCTTAATTGATTTCAAAAAAATATGCCACTTTTTTCAATTGAAAGGGTATATTTTTAGGAGAGATTAATTTTTGATACAAAAAATGTGGGAAACTTCCACATTTTTTGAATAAAGATGTATCAAAAACTGTCTTTCCCAAAAATGCTACTTTTTATAATTGACTGACTTTATATTGGTTGCTCATTAAGAAAACTAACAATAATAAGTTGAAAAGTGTAACGATTCTTATTTGAGTCGTGACTTTAAAATATTTACCCAGAGAGTTTTATGTGATCACCTTCTATGCTATCATTATTACTAGAAATTGATAAGGAATTTGTTATGTTAACAATGAGACTTTTTATGTACACAGTCATGAAACACTGAAACTTTCCTAGCACTCTAACCTTTAAATTCGCTGATTACAGGAACCACGAACTCCTGAAGACGACCTCGACCTCAGTTCCGAAGACGAAGCTGTCGCAAGTGATCTTGATATGCACGCGCTCATCTTGGGAGGTATGCCCCACGACTCGGAGCCTCTGAAAACTGCTGACGAGGTCATTCAAGAAATCGACGACATGATGCAAGACGACATTTGTTCCAGTGACGGGTGTCCCGAGTCGAGGGAAAGGGAGCTGGCCAATAACGAAGTTATGGAGAAGGCCAAGGAGGTTCTCAGTTCTCCGCTGTATGAAGACAGTAAGTATTGGATTCAGTAAGATATACGTGGTTGATGTATGTCAATCTCTGAAAGTAATTTCTCCAGCCATATTTTCCCACATTCTAGAAATTCTATTTTACTCAAAAATATTTCCAGATATTAATTTTTGAAAGAGATGCTATTCTCTTGTTGACACATCAAGGCCCTGGAAATGTTTCTTCTCAGTCCGGAATCTTCTTTTACAATAATAAATTATTCACCTCAAATTATACATCAACAACTTTATATATTTACATTACAGATATGTGTATGCAGATATATAGAAATTAAGTAAATGAACAAGTAACTCCATGATAGTAACCTATAGGTTGTGCATCTACATAAAACTTGCATTTAATACTTTTGTACATTGATGAGAACGGCATTCACAGATGTGTTGAAAGAGATAATAAGAAGAGGTCTACAAGATGATATTACATTTTCAAGAAGACAAAGAATATATATACACAAATACATTCATGTTATAAAGTTATACCACTATATCAAAAGTAATATTACTTCAAAAGTGAAGACATTTAGTATTTACTCACTTGGGAACCATTGTTTTTCTAGATATATTTGTTTTTTATTGACCCATTTCCTGATTTGGTCCCTTATCATATAGTTTGGTACCTCCACAGCTGTTTCAGTAGAAATTTACATGGAGTTAATGATCCATGACCAGCACGCTTCCCAATATAGAGTCAGTCTATTCTGATCCACCTTATCTATTTTGTTGATTGCAGGAGCTTTTTCATCTTTGGCCTCCAAACCAAAAAAAATGTATATTATCATATGTTTAGCCACTATTGAGAATAGTCAATACTTAGTTGAAGAAGTCCTAGTTCTAGTTAAGTGCATCAACGGCGATTTGGCGCCGCAACAAAATTACCTTCCATTAAATAACACATCGATATCAAACCAAACCAAATTGACAGAATAAAACTCAAAGTGATAAGATATTTTACTAATGTAGAGTTTTTCCTGCCATTCGAAGCGCCGACTGGTGCATAGAAAAAATCATCAAAATCAATTATATAAAAATCTACTGCTCTGCTGTAGATTTATTTGTCTCATATTTTGTCAGATATTTATTTGTCTAAATACATTGAGGCAAGAAAAATCAAACAAAATAGATATCTTCAAGATACTTTCATAAAAAAGTATGAAAACAGGTCGATTTTTAATTCTAGGGTTTTTTTTCTATCATAACCTCAATCATACTTCTTCCTCGACCCTTGGAGACCATCATCCCATGAATTTGAATAGGGTCTTGAAGATTCTATTAATGAGTATAATTATTCTTAAATTAGTTTTTTCTCAGAATGAAATTTGTGGTTTGTTGTTTCATTTTCATATAAATGTGGCAAATAAATAGAAACATTTATTTGCCACAAACATGTATCTGAGTATTTTTCTTGAAATGAATCCAAGGTTGTAGCATTATAAACTCAAAAATACTTAGGAAGTGAACTAAACAAACAAGTAAATGAACATTTCATCGATGATTTGTATAAGAATCTGGTGTTATCTTTTTCAGAACTGCGGGATCTCAGTTTATCGCAGTTGAATGAGCTCTTCCTAGAACTAGAAGTTCTGATCAGGGAATTTTCAGAAACACTGATCTCAGAATTGGCCTTGCGGGACGAGCTGGAATATGAGAAAGAACTGAAAAATACCTTCATATCTCTACTACTTGCTGTTCAAAACAAAAGAAGGCAGTATCATGTTGAGAAGAAACGTGCAGCCAAAAATACGTCTTTGAGGAATTCCACTGGATTGGATCCTAAGGTAGTTGGCTTTTGTAGTTCGATACCAGGTTATCAATATTTTTTTTTTAGTACTTGACAACGGTGATTCCATATCATATAGACAGTGGACCACCAGATAATCAAACTCTCCAAATTCTTATTAAAAGTGAGTATTTTTATAGGGAAGTTTGGGAACCACAAATAGATAGTTTTCCATCGCATTATTATTTCACAAGGAAATTATGTCTTTAGAAACTTCATCAGACAGTCTGTGTGACTGTTAGTACTGTGTGTTAGGAAAATTTGTAGAATTTGGCAATCATGGAAACGTGTCTCAATACTGTTATTTTTGTATGCTGCACAAAGATACTTGATTCCAACTTAATCGATAAAAACATGACGTTCGTCAAATTTAATCAACGATGAAGCTAGAATTATGAAATCCATCGAGATTTAGACCATTGGACTATTTGTACAAACTCCAAATTTTTCATTATATATTATTCATCATTGGTAATGAAAAGGGATCTAATTCAGTTTTGCTATTGATTTGTCTATGATCTTCACAAAATCTGTAACTTTCATCAGTTTTTGTGGAATTGCAAATAATTTTAATTTAAGTAGATCACCTACAGACCGGTTTCGAGGTATTGCTTCTCATCAGTGCAGGAAAGATCTGCGAGGCTAACCTCTGTGAGGGATCTTGCATAAATGTCTGTCGGATATAATTCAATATCCAGCGTGGTGTTAGCCGAGTAAGTAGTTGTTTTCCGGCAGAACTTACGGTGTAGGTAGTTGTGAGAGATGAATATGTTGAGATTTTAGTTTGAAATATTTATTTTTTAGTATGTATGTACTTCAGTCTTCGGACACAGTTTGATCAATATCATAATCACAAGAATTAGTTAAACTTCCTAGAAATTTCGTAGACGAAATACCACTAGTATTACCAAGATTATAAATAGTTGTTGAGTGTTCTGCCTTTGGAATTGTATATAAATTGAATAAATTTTTGAAAATTGAAAGTTATTGATGTTGACAGGTATATTATTAAAAAACGACTGCAAATGAAAAAGAAATTACCGAGCTTTGAGGAAACCAAGTCTGTATAAAAAAAATTGAGATTTCACATTCTGCTCTCACATTTATTTTCCATCTTTTAGAATTTTACATTTATCAGAATCCTAAATTTGCATAATTCAGTCGTCATAGGTTTTGAATAATGCTTCTTTGGTAGTTCTATTTCATTCAGTTTTCATAACTAATATAGTCATTTCCAAATGAATAACATAACCTATATTTCTAGTACTGAAAGCCATCAATGAAGACAGCCCAACTGTTCCCACCTTATTGACGGATTATATATTAAAAGGTAAGCATATCATTGTATGAAGATTTTAAATTTTTTATTTTCTCATTTAAAATTCAGAATTTGAGGTGTTTTCTGGCATCTAACCGTATTCGAGCGTCTTTTAAAAAACAATTCCTAGTGACGTCATGAATAAAAAGATTCGCCAGAATGGAATTTTTCAGTTTGTATCAAACGTCAAATTCAATAATGAAAACAAACTTTTCAATTTTCTTTAACCTCAATTAGAATCGGATTTGTGCATACAGCTTCATTTTATACAACTTTACAACGTATTTTCTTAAAAAAGTTTTCAGCACTTTATAAACTATAACGATCAAAATAAAGCAGAATCGACAACTGACGTAACGTAACGTCACATTCTGTTTCAAAACCAATCTCACGCTAGTTTTGAACCATCATGAGTACGTGTCAAATCATAGTTGATGTGATGTCATCGTTTCAACGCCAGAATGAATATTGGAATCACAGACTAATACGTTTTGGATACATGAGCGCCAGAAAACGCCTTCAATTAGGTACCAAAGAATAAAAGTAATGTACGAAATGTGAGAAAAAACTTGGTTGACAGCAAATGTTTTCGATTTCGAAGCTTGGTCTGTTAAACGATTCGCTCCTTTTGTTTACTCAGTATTGTTCTTCAGAACATTTTTATCCAATAATATTTGTTCCAATTTCCACAATGAACATTTTGATATACATTTTGCCAAGTTTCAGAAGGATTCTCTCGATTTTTTTCTGTTCACATTATAATATATTGAAAATTAGTCCTTGATACCATTACTTAACCTTTGGTGAGTTACACCATCGTTTATCTAACCGCAACTGGTGCGGTCTAGACATATGTGGAAGAGAGAACTCAACACTTCATCTGATGCCAGCTTTGGATCTGTAAGACTAAATCCCTGATAGCTCCTATAATTGGGTTAGCAGTAGACCACAAGAAAAGGTACCCACAACCGACCATCGCACAAAATCAGAAGATGATGGGGCCCAAACCGATTTGCCAACTTACGACAGCAACGATACTAGATACTTTGAGTGAACGCATGAGCCAACAGATAGCCTGATGCGTTATTACCAAAGTAGTGAGCACGCGCGAAGAGGGTACATAGAAGTGGTATGATCATGCCACAATTTACGGCAAAACTCTTAAGGCTGTGTAGTTCCAACCTGCTAACAGGAAGTGACAGTTCCATCATCCGTTGACGCGATTGGAGAGGAGATTTTCATCATTCCACCAGTTGAAACAATTGGAATTCCCAGGACGCTCCACCGAATTAGTCCCTGGAGTCACAACAGCTGGCTCGTTTTAATGCAAAGGTTCCATGATGTTCACACAGAAGAGGAAAATTAACACCACCATGTCCAGGGCTGTTTATTCGCTTCCTGAAAAGGAAGAGTGGGATCCCGACTTTGTGGCTTGAAATATTTTACGACGAGTACACAAGAAGGAAGCTGAGATCAAATTGGCGGGACAACACGCGTCTCATATTCAATCTGTGATGGACCTTCAGGACTCACGCCCTTCGCGAGGCGAATAACCGCAAAACTACGACGTATCTATCATACTCAAGGCTGACAAACAAACAGTACTTTCTCGATTCAATTATAATACGATTGTTAGTGGCTGCTAAAAATTCTCTGGCGAGGTTAGCGAGAAGAATCGCGGAAATTTTAAGAGTCTTGGCTTGTTGTGGATGGTCCGGCTGACCGCTGATCGGGCATCTAGGATCATCCGCAACCACTCAGCCTAGACACTCCAGCTTTCACGCAATTCAAATCTTTTTGTAGAGAGCTTTGATAGCACAAAGCACAAGCACGAAGTACTGAGCAATCTGATAACCCTAGATGGCGTTTGAAGAGCTCTGTAAGTTGTGAGAACTTTGCTGATTCTGGCCCAGATTGGCTGAATACCCACCTGTTGGTGGAAATAACTACCAAGCACCCACCGCCATCTGGCCATTGTTTTCAAGGAGAGCAAAAGCTTGGAACACTGTTCCGAACCAGAAAACTGTACACACCTCAGCAACTTTTGATGCTTTATAAAGCTCAGATCAGACCTTCTTTGGAGTATTGTTCTTATGTATAGAGCTCCGCCCCTAAGCATACCCTGGGCCTGAAGCTGCTGGATTCCATCCAGCAAAAAGGTCATCCGCCTGATTGGAGACGCGAACATCACTTGCAACCTTAATCGTCAGGAATATCGAAGAAAGGTTGGGGGGATTTGTCTCTCTCCTATGGATACTTTCACTGGAAGTATCAAAGTGACTTGGCACATTTGATCCACCAACATATTAAAAATACGCGACATATTGTGGCTGCTCATCATTTTTAGGTTCAACTCAGTACACCTCGAACTTCACTGTTTAAGAACTCTTTTATTTGGAGCACTGCGCTCGAGTGTTTTGTCTTTGAAAAAAAAGAATTGGTTTGTTGATGGGGCAGTCCTTTCTTATCAAAAAAAAATGGAGATTTGCCAATTCTCGATAATTACAGACCAATAACTTACTTGAATTCCTTCATAAGTTGTTCACAAACATTTTATAGATACGCAGTTGACCAAGGATTCGAAAAGATATATGAGCAGAGAGGGTCAAAGGGAGGAGTCGCTAGCTATAAGAACTTGCTCATTGCTAGATGTGTAATGCAGGACTCAAAATTGTTTGAGCAAAGTCCTTCTTCCTTCCTGTAACATCTTTACCTTAACATCTGGTCAGGTTTGAGTCCAACTAGAGCAGGTCATACTCAAGGCGATTCATTTTTTTACATCTCATTGCTGTTATCTGTTGCACTCCATAAACCCCTGGTTACTCTTTTGAGAGAGCACACATACTATAGATATGGAGTTCATTATAGACAAATGTGCATTGGTCCATCTCAGAAAATGCTGATGTCGGAATCACGAAGAGAATGTGCAGCCGGTACTTGATGGAGGCTGTTAAGTCATCTATATAGTCCATGATCATGAAAGTACCAGATTTTTTTTTAAACATGGATTACTTCGCTTTGAAGTGTATACCTTTTGAAACCATCCTGATAATTGATCCTGAATTCATAAGTTAGTGAATAGTTTACTTAATTGTGAGAGCCTTTCTTTGACACATTTATTCCATTTATGAACATATGTTGAACTAAAAAAAATTATTACGATTTCAATTTTTCCCAGATATATATTATATATAATGCATGTAATAATAATATACAGATAGACTGCAATAAGTCAATATTGAATTTTTTTGGTGTAATTCAGTAAACATTTTTTTTCATTTTGTTTCAGTGATATGCCCTACCTAAGCCCGTGTTAGTATAAATACCAACTTTTTAGTGAAGATAAGCTTACGACTGCTGAAGCACACTTTTCACTTGCAATAATTTGATTTTTCTTCAGTGTCGCAGAGAAGAGGTACATCCCACCTGCTTATGAATTTTTAAAATAGATAATTTTCACCTTTATTGGTTCGCTTTCAAAATTCGATTATTGTTGCAAAACACATAGATATAACAAATGTTTTCACTATATTACAATGTTCTACTCAAAAGTTACAGAATAGTGAAATTATTCCACGATCTTCTCTTCTTTGCGACACTTTTTTTTTAATCAAAAATGATCGTCATATATTTGTGTTGTATATATTTTACTCAAAATATTCTAGTCTAATGTCTTGCGAAGTGATGGTTTGTGAAATATGTTTTAAGTGTACGTCGAGAGACCTCTGATTTCGTTTCTAAGAGTTGACAATTGTTCAACGGAAAGAAATTAATATCTTGAAGATTGGTAGCAAAATTTGAGGTCTCGGTTTCGTCTTGATGCCTACGAAACTTATCTTGTGCAATATCATGTATATTTTTGTTTTTTGGTTTAGTCTTGCCCTAACGGATCCCGAATAAATGCTAACAAAATTCCAAACATATTCTGGAACTATCAATATCTTCGTATAATACTCTTGAATGGTTTTACTTGACTAATTTTGACGAATGTTTGATCCAGTGATTAAGGAATTCGAGTGTGAAAGAAAATTGGAAAAATATATTGTTTTAGGAAGCCTATCGAAGACAGTTGATTTTTTACATCATCCGGCAAGTTTCTGAAAGTTGTTTCTATTATTTGGGTTTTATAAATTCTGCAAGTTCTTGAACAGTATGCTCACCATAAAAAGACTGTCATGGACATTTGTGGTTCGAATTTCCTTTAGTAACTTTTTAAATTTGAAATTCATATAAACTGTTCCTTCTTCTATGCCTTCTTCCATGCCTTCTTCTATCACTCATTATTTTGAAACTTTTTTGAAATTACTTTCATATTTGATGGAATGCTTTTAATGATAGATAAATAACCTCATAGGGAAAACTTCAAGTTGGAATTTCAAAATGAATTGGGGAAATTATTTTCATCATGTCATGAAAAATCGAATCACATACTTTTGAAAGTATGTTGTCATTCTCACTAAATTACTACATAATCTCTATGATTTATTCATTAATAAATACCTCATTATGCTGGTAACTGATGGCTATGTTAGACGTCATTTTCATTAAAATCAAATCACATTTCAACCTAGAAGAACGGTTTGGTGTAATTTTACTGGTTACAATTGAAAAAAAATCTTTGAATAGCGGAAATTATTCAATAAAACTGAGGTTTTTTTTAGTTTTGTGCTAGCCCTTTGAAATCATCAAGTTTGTCAAAGCATTAAACGAATCTTTGCTACTTCCGTCTTCAATGGTAACAGCTAACTAACTTAACCTATCTTAAATTCAGTTGACCATTCTCACCATCCTTTGTAGCTGGTGGAAATATGAATGGGTGGATCAAGTTTTTAGATATTAATGGTGGAATAAACAATGTATTTATTTCTTTTTGCAAGCACTGAGTACATGCAGGATCATCCAACTTCTCAAAGGTCACAAGATCAGCCACATCTCCATCCAACTCGGTATACAACAGTTTAACCTTCAATTTTTCATCATGTTCAACATCAGAACTAATAGAACTAGTAGTTACAGTCAGTAAGACCTTTGGTCTTGCTGGCTGTAGACCCCTACAGCCAGTCTTACTGGTCTTACTGGCTGTAGACCCCTACAGCCAGTCTTACTGGTCTTACTGGCTGTAGACCCCTACAGCCAGTAAGATCAAAGGTCTTACTGGCTGTAGGGGTCTTGAAGATTCACCTATATAACTTATTCCACAGGAGAAACCGGAAATATGAACCTAAACTGAATTCTCGGAAAACATCTGGTATGTGTATTCATGTAGTCTATCTTCCTCTTGAAGATGATTGCTTGGTGATCGAAACACGTGCCAAGGTGCTTAAAATAATGGTTTGGTGTTGGGATGAAACTCCAGTAATATTGGTTTATCAGATTGATTGCCAAGCCTTAACTGGGATATTGAGGTAGCTGTCAAATTAAACGGGGGTTTTCCTTCAGGAAGAACATTAATGATCTGCCAATGTCCTATCTTTCATAGAATAAATTATGTGGTGTCTCCAGAGGCTCCAATAAATTCAAGATATTGCCATAATATTTGTTGACACGGCTATCGTCAAACTTAAACCAGTCCGTTTCGTCCTTGACCAATGCCTAATAATGACCAGATTCAATGCCAGAACCACAGTGAACAATGTCTGCATGAAAATTATAATAGTGGTCTGCTAGATTGAAGTGTTCATCTGTTTCGAACCTTCGTAAAAGTTTGGTGCTTCCGTTAGAGGTTGAGTCATGTTTGAAGGTAATCAGTGTTATTATTAGATTGACTGGTGCCTGAGCTATACTTGTCTTATAATAGTCAGTTAGTCTGGCGCATCAACTGTTGAAAGTTCTATTTTCAGATGATTTAACAACAAGTTATTGACTTGTTGGACTCTTCAGTGGTATATGTTATACAGTAATTGTTTGAGGTGAACTTCTGCCCTTTATTACACCTCAACAGATTCTCTATTGATCTATATTGTGGGATAAGAAAACCTAAAAAAGTAGCGAGAAACACTAACTCGTTCGTAAAAAATATCTTTCTGCAGTATTTGAAATCATGAGGCATATTACTTTATTGATTTTTTCAACATTTCCTGGCAATAATGACGAAATATGAAAAAAAAACCTATCTAAGAATAGATTTTTGTGTAAGTCAGTGTTACCTACTTGAAATCAGGCATTTCCAGATAATTGATTGGTGCAAGAAAATGAATATTACCTACATTAAATATATTTTCATTGCTGGAATTCCAATTTTCCTTCACACGTTGTTTTGGATTATTTATTTCTGAAAGAAAGTTTCTTCAAGCTTTCACTAGATAATATTTTTTTATAAAATGAGAAAATTTGCCATTTCTCTCTAGATAATATGTAGATGTTTCAAATTGTCGAGTATCTGTAGTATACTATAATTTTTTGGGTAATAAATTCCGGGTGATTGAGGAAAGACAAGCTTTTCTAGTAGTTTCAAATTGGTTTCATCATCAAAATGATATTATACTTTGATTCATACGACTTTTCAATGATATCTACTTTCTTTAGAAAATTGAACTTCTGGGTAGTTAATTAGAAATTATAATTTCAAATTGAAATGATTGATGATTGATCCAAAAACCTTTGCTTATATTATATAAAAACTGAATTGAGTTATACCCTGACAGTACGACAAAGAATATTTTAAAAAGCAATTGCTTGATATATTCTGAATAATGACTTGTAATGATTTATTGAAAAACGATTATTCAACGTTGACATTCCTCTTTCACCTAGGATTAGCAATTCAATATTACCATTGCTACATTCGTAATTCTTGCCATATTAATTTATTTTCGAGAAGTAAATTTAGTCTTAGGTGAAGTAAAAGAAGTTGTCTTTTGATGTTACCTGTTTGTAAGTAAGCAGCTTGTATATGTAGATCTCATCGAAATAAACCTTTTCCTTCTGACTTGTTTTATTTGTTCCATCAGAATGAACAGCAAAACGTGTCTCACCAAAATGAGTATATCGCATTACCAGGTAGGCTGAATGAAAGTTGTAAGGGCATATTAGTCTGAAATCTGATATTTTGCGGTAGAGTCGGATTTCCACTGATCAACTTCAATACAGCTCGTGAATATGTTGACTACTGTGAAACAAGTCACTACAAATATGGCATCAAATAGAATTTGAATCATTGAAACGACCACTGCACATACTACTATGTCAAAAAGTATCGGAAATTGTTCAAAGAAACGAACAAATGTTTTATTCATCCCAATTTATTGTATCGGTTTCAAAGTAGGTCCCTTCCAAAATTATATTCTATGACAACGGACAACCCAATCATCAAAACAGTTTTTTAACGCATTTTTTGGAATTCACTTCAGTACTCACTGCAAATACTCTTTTTTCATCTATTGACTGAAAACGGGTGCCTCGAAGTGTTGGTTTGAGTTTTGCAAAAAGGAAAATCGGCCGGAATCATATCAGGTGAATACGCTGGCTGTTCGATATGGTTGGTTGAGTTTTTGACCAGAAAGTCGTTCACGAGGATAGCCTTGTGAGATAGTGCGTTATCGTGGTGCAAAATTCATGGGTTTTTTTTGTGCTAGTTGACAATGGAAATCACGGAATTCTGGAAATGACCTTTGACATGCCTCCAACTATCAACTACGAACTGCCTTATACCTTACTGTTCCTGAGTAGAGAAACTGGATCCTCCGGGAGAAGAAAGTATTAAGAGCAGAATGTTGTTGGTTAACAGATGGATCAAAAACACCTTCAGGTTCTGGTGCAGGTGTTTTCAATCAAAGATCCAGGACAGAGATATCAACTTGCCTAGGGACCTATGCGACTGTATGCGATGGTATTAAATTGTGTGCGAATAGATTGGTAGAATTCAACTTCATACACAAGTCAATAAAAATATTCTCGGACAGTCAAGCGGCGTTGGATGTTCTTGGCTTCTACTGAGCTACGTCTAAATTGGTAGCAAATTGCTAAAAACGACTCTCCTCAATAAAAAGACTCAAAAACTTGTCTCTGGTCTGAATTCCTGACCATACTGACCTGGATGGCAAAGAAGGGGGCTACAAGCAGCTTCATCGGACCAGAACCTGTCATTGGCATCGATTTAGGCTTTGCCAAACAAATATTGAACACTTGGACAGCAAGAAGATTTATGGACTTCTGGCAGAATCTTCCAGGATTGGCTCGCTCCAATGTGTTCATTCACCCTTCGAAGCTTGATACCAAACAGTTGTTGGACTACAGTAAAGGTGAACTACAATATCTAACAGGCCTTCTCACAGGTCACTGTCTCTGAATCATCATATGCAGAAATTCGGACTATCAGAAGACAGTGTGTGTCGCCTCTGTTTGGAAAATGATCTGACCTGAAAGATCACTCACCATATAAACTAATAGGCTTCGTTAAAAAGCTGGCTTTATTTGGTCGAGTGTGAATAGGCGTGAGCCACAATAAACCCTTGTGGGTTGCATGGAGAGACGAATAGACCCACTCACTTTTGACCTAACCTAACCTTTCCACATATCTGGTCTTTTTCGATAAATTTATTATGTACTGCCTCACCTTTCGGCAAGAATAGTGGATGCACAACACGACTGTAATAGAAAAAACTTGAGTTTTTTCGGTTTTGGTTCAGTTGGAAGGTGCTATTATTCCGAAGTTCACTTTACGATGTTAAGTTCAGTTGTCGACCATATGTCGACCGCTTTTAAATGCATTCTGACACTTATACAACGTATTTTTGATACAGTTGAATCACTGTATGTCTTGCAATATTTTCAGCGCTTCGGTACACGAAATTCCATTTGCATTGTAAAATTTGAGATGAATCTTTGTTGATAATCACATCAATTGTAAAAATCTCAGAACAAGTTTGATGTTAATTAAAAACTTGAGTACTGCGAACAAAAAACAAATAGTTTACTCACGGAAAGAGGATCAAATTTCTCTTCCACCGTTAAGGTTGTTATAAAAAACCTAAGCAAACATATTTTGGTTGGTTTCCGGGTTTTGCCTGGTCTTAACGTTTCAACTGCAACTGTGGCAGTCATCTTTAGTGGCTTGGTCGAACTACTCTTTTTGACGTGTCATCTGCAACTCACTTGACACGTCAAGAAGAGACTGCCGCAGTTGCAGTTGAAACATTTGGAGATTGTAACCAAAGAAGACCACGGCAAAACCCGGAAACCAAATTCATGTGGAAAGGGCATAATGACGCTATCTTACAAAGAAATAATTAGCTTATTATTACTTATTTGAACAAACTAGGTACTGAACATGAACCGAAATGTAAATGTGTAGTGACGTTATAAGCTTCGTCTCCATGTTACGAGATGGAGTGAAAAATATTTGTCATAAGAGTATAAAGGAAAGCTGTGTCAACCTGGCTACGAAAATAATTTTTACAATGCCTTAAGGCGGTTTTTTAAAGGATCGATTCTCGGTACTTTCTTGATTTAATGTAAATGGCGTCTCAGTTTGAGGAGTAACTCTTCCATTTTGCCAAAATAAGATTTTGGGCTGTAATTTTATGTTCTTTCCCTCTCATTGGAGTGCTGTCGCTTCATGTTCATCAACTATCGATTTTCTAACGCACATTTTTCCCGGAAAAATCATTCAAAACTGTTCCTATTTCAATGGAAGTGTTTCATTGACAATAGTCATATTCCATTCACGCCACAAGCGTTTGGCTATTTATTCGATGTGTTTTGATTAAGCAGAGAGAGTGAAAAAATAGATCTGGAATATCGCACTTGCATTAAACTTCATCAAAAAGAAGAATTTACCATAAGTGATAGGTTTATAATCTTCTTCACAAAATATCCCTCCTTTCACTGTTTATAATTTCGTCTATGCGTTGTTTTGGTATTTATATGTAAAAGTAAATGTTTTATCTTGTTTTTTATTGCTTCGAAGTCTCTTTATCAGTTACCTATCTTGATAATATACTACATGTTCTTGTCCCAAATGTATAATCCTGAAACATGACAAGAGTATTCACAAAAAAAGTGTGCGATTGCAGTTTTAGGTGAATAGGAAAGCAAATTCATTTCGGAGCCATAATTTCTAAGGTGATAATAATAAAAAATTTGCATCCTCTTCTCTGCATGATCTGCAACCATCAGAGAGCAGGAATTGAAGCATTTCTCTTTAGGGCAACTGCCCGAGCAGATGGTGAACTCTGTTTCATTTTTGACTCTGAACGAAGTAATCACAACTCTGTCAGCGAGTTGGAACCCGTTCAGCAAAAGGCCCATATAAAACCGCAGAGATCACTTCACTTCTGCGGCAACACAAG